CTCTGACTGGCGGATACTATTGAATTATTGTGTGGTTTGGAATCTGACATGAACAGAACATTATATGCAAGCATTAATTAATTATGAATAATTTATATATATTTATATTTTTTTTATTTTTTTTTTGTTGTAAAGGAGGTTTAGTGTATGGGGAGGAAGGATGACGGGATAAAATTTATACCTTACATGATTTTTAATTAACTTCTTAATCACTAAATTAAAAGGAGAAAGTTATATAATTTATATATCTTTACATTGTTAAAGGTCCTACTATAAGATCCATGCATATGCATGGTTGTTGAAAAAATGAATGAAGAAATAATTATAAATAATTTCCAGTAATAAAAGTTTATTTACAGCTTACATATATATGAAGTTGGTAAACGTCAATGGTTAATTTACTTTAAATAATGCAACCAGTTTGAAGCTTTTGCAAAGGTTTTAATTATTGAATCTTATCCTATAAAATGGAGGACCATCAGCCTAATTAGCTTCCTAGAGAGATAATAATTTGACAAAATTGAAAATGATACATTTTTCATCAATCGCATCTAACTCCTAATTGCTTGTTTTCAATCAGTGCATTGTTTTCTATAATGGAGGCTTGCACACAATTTATAATATTATCTATTTTAATTTAAAAATTTTATAATTTTTATTTTATAAAAAATATTTTATAAGTATAAATTTATATTTATATATGTATATATCATATTTTATCTTTACATTCTTTTAATATGAGATTGAGATATCATAATTTTTTTTATTAGATTTTAATATCTTCATAAAGTTCAACAAAGTTTGACATCTTAGTCAAACTCAATATAAAATATATTGAACATTAACATAGATTTTTATCGTGTAACATTTAATTCTTTTAAGATTTTAAAAATGATTTCTATAACGTAATATTTAATTTTTGTTCGATTAATAATCATTTTGATATTATTTATGAAAATTTATAATCAATTTACGATATATTATTTATTTTAAACAAAAAATATAATGATTTTATTATACAACATTATCTTGTAAATATAAATATAAATTTTTATATTTATTATTTTATATTCTTTTATTCTTTTAATATAAAATTAAAAACATCACATCATCATTAAATGTCAAATTTGAATTTGAATTCTTGAACCGTCTTTTTTTTTTTTAAACTTTAATTCATAAATTCAATTTTATGTCCGGGATCAAAATATTCATGGAGACATCCCCGTTATTGTTACATGGACATCAACATATTAAAAAGGGATAATTAATTAAAACAAGAATCATGAACGGTTAGTCAAACTCTTAACTTGATTACGTGAATCATGATGTAGTTTATAATTAATTATGTTCATGTTCCATATTAATTTAACATAATCATATTCTTAACTTGATTAATACGTCTAATCACTATAAAAAACTTAAAGAGGAAGGCAATTGAATTTGGACATCATTTCAATTCCCTACCTAACAATATATGTAGTGTCAAAACCAGCTCGTACGTGGTTTGATAGATGCATATCTAGGATTTTTTTTTTAATATGTTTATTTATAATAAATATATATAAATTTATTGATAAATTTATTAATTTTATAAATAAAAAATATCTATCAGAGAATTTTGGAATATGCAAAGAATTTTTTTTATTTTTTAATTTTAGGAGTGTCTATGAAAAATTTTAGAAATATCTAGTAATTTTTTTTTAATTTTTTTTTTTTCAATTTTGGGAGGTTTCTTAAATGAAACGGTAGATTCATCCCCACTAAATATTGTACGTAAATCATTATTATTAATTTAATAATTATGCAATTTTTAATAAAGAACTAAAATTTTAATTTAAATAATCAAAATTTAAATTTTAACGTCCAAGGTAAATAAGCACTATAGCAGTATCGATCTATCACTTAGGGAAAAATAAAAGTACTTGAAATTAAGTTGTAAAAGAAATAACTTCGATGGTTTTGACAAACAACTACCATGTATTGTCTGAAAAAGAAACAAAAAAAAATGTAGAGGGGAAAGTCGGCATCAGTCAGAAGGCAAGGAAGAAGACGTGGCAAGTGGCGACCCTGACAGGCCGGAATTGAAGTGGGGCAGATCATGAGAGGTAGAGGTCGGCCTGACGTGAATTAAAAACATCGGCCTACTTTGTCAGTCAAATTGGTCTGCCGGTGGGCCCAAAGGAGAACCCAACCGAAGGATGGTGAACCCATCGACACCTCAACCGCGTTTGATGCCTCCCAGGACTCGCATTGATTGTTTTTGCTTTTAGTTTTGGGTATCGGTCTCTGTTTCCATTAATTATGTGTATATATAAATGCTAGTAGATAATTTTGACTTTAAGATGTAATTTTAACTTATTTATTGAAGATAAAAAGTAGTAATTAAAATTTGACTAAATTTGAATCAATAAAATTAACTAAAATATTTATGGTTTTATAATTCGATATTGAAAATAAAAAGTAGTAATTAATGTAATTTGGTTTTGTTATAATTAAACCAATCCAATCAACACTCTTAGTGTGTACAAAAATTGAATTTCAATAACATTATATTTCAATTTATTTATAATTTTAAAAAAGATAAATTCGAACATTTTAGCATTTTCAAATTTGATAAAAAAAAAATAACTAATAATAATAATATATTTTTTACCAACAAGTAGTTGATTCAATCGATTAGGTTCGCTCATCTCAACTAAAAGGTATTGGGTTCGAGTTTTACTAGTGATCATTTATTAAATCATATCGAATACACGATTTACAGTTATTTATCTTAAGCTGTCAGGTATAATACTTTTTATCTTGATTTAAGAGACTGAATAATTTATCTATCAATAATTTTTTTTACAATATTACTGTTTTACATCTCACCATTGTTGTGTTTCTTTGAATAATGAAAAAATTTTTATAAATAAAAATTTCCACCCTAATAGAGGATGCGTCTTATACCAAATGGAGCCTAAATGTTTTGGATATTTATGAAAATAAATAAGAAGTTACAAACTAAGAATATGTCTGAAACAAAAGGGAGAACAAAGTCGAAACTAACTAATTAGGCTTGTGACTTGTAGAGATGGTTTCCCAAAGGTCTAAAGCGTGTTAGTGGAGAGGAAAAGATTTCCCAAAGGGTTAGGGACATGGTTCGAAAAATCCCATAGGGTTTGTCCTTAGACAAGAAAGCCGACTCTTTGATCCCACCACGAAGTAATGAGGGTAAGAACATGTGTTATGGAGAAGTATGAATGAAATTATTGGAGTTCGCTCGGGTCAAGATATAACATATATAAAAGATAATGTTGACTATGATGAGTCAAGAAATTTGTTTGGGCATAGGCTTCTGGTTGGAAAATGGCAGTTCAAAGCAGCTACCGACAGGAGCGGATTTCCACTTTTGTTTTTTTTTTTTTTTCTTTCTGACAGTGGAATACTCCTTGTTATGAGGAAAGATTGCTTTCGATATTTGTAGGGACGAATGAGTTTTTTTTTTTTTTTTTTTTTTTTTTTCATATAAAATTTGGTTAGGATAAATTGTTTAGTCTCGAAAGTAAAAGCAAAATATGTAATATCTAACAGGGATCATGCATTTGAAGTTAACATAAAAAAGAGACTATGATAAGATTAGAATATAAAATTTTTTTTTTGATAAAAAAATTTGAAATAAATAAATTATTTAATTTTTAAATTAAAATAAAATATATTATATTTGATAATTTAAAATAAATTATTATAAATCGTTCATTGAAAATGATCTTAATAAGTAATCATTAATAAACTCAAATTCAAGATTTTTTCATCTAAAATAATAAATCATAACTAATTGAATCAACTGATAATTAAAATATAAAATTACTTGCATGGAAACGAATGGTGAATCAACTTACGTATTATGTCCATGGTTCCGACGGTGAATGATGATTGCTCCATGGAGCCAAGTTCAAAGATGGGAAATGGGCTTTAGTTCTCAATGATTAACCCATAGAAACCTACAGAGCCCAAAAAAGAATAGGCCTTGCAGCCTTAATAGTTTATATAGCAAAAGCCCACTTTATTGTTCACTTAACCAAAAAAAAAAACCCATCCTATTGTTATTAAAGAAAAAAGAAATCAATGATTCCATTTTTGTTGTCAACAATTTCATTTAATATAAGATTTGTTAATTCAATATAAATATTTGTTAAGAAAAAATTTTTTTATTGAGAGAAGTTTAGAAGTAAAAAAAGTTATTCCATATTCAAGGTAAAAGTAATCAACGAACATACAAGGAAATTTATGAATTTTTAAATTTTTTTTAAACCTATATATCCTCTATCAATAAAAAAGGGTGAGAATTTGAATTTAAATATTTTATATTTTATATTTAAATTTTAAATATTTATTTTATTTTTTATTAATAAATATTTTTTAAGAGTTATAAAATGCATTGATGTACTCTAAAACAAAATAATCTCTTTTTCATCTAAAATTTTTATTCGAACACTTATAAAACTTCCAAATTTTAAGTTTCAATGTAATTTTTTAAAAATATTAATGTGTAAATTTTTTTATTTGTGTTATTTTTAAAAAAATTTCTTTTTTATATTCATTCTTTTAAAATATTAAATTATGAAAAATATAATATATTCTTTTCGTCTCAATTTGTTTAAGTATAATTGATTTCTACAAAGTTTAAGAAAAAAATTTTGATTTTAATATATTTTGGTATTAAAATTAAAAAATTTATAAAATTAAATTTTCATTATTTTTAATATTAAAAAAATCATAAAAATAAAAATTTTAAATTAAAAAAATATCATTTTGAGACAAAAAAAATGGAAGAGAAGGTGTACAAATTATTTACCAATTTTGAGCTAAGGTATCATTTATTTCATAAAATACTTTTTTCTCATTGGTTCACCACCATTCACCAGACACCAACAGTCAAAGTCAAAGACGAAAACAAAATGTAAAACAATCCCAGAACAACTAACGGACCTCTCCCATGTGTCCAACCCATATTCCACCGTCGAAACCAAATCAGGGACACTGAAACAAAATCTCATTATTCTTTATTAATATCGACGATCATGATGGCAAAGAACAGTCAATCCACCATACTCCCTCCCTCACATTATCATTCTCACCCTGTCACGAACAACACCGAAACGGCGCACCTTGGACACGCGTTTCGCGTTCTGCTCTACTCTTCGATCTAGCTTTCAACGTTACGGAGCGAAAATCCTCCAAACTCTTCCATTCGACAAGCACAGGTAAGCTATTTTTTTTGTTTGGGTTTTTGTTTAAAGATGCGAACTGGAGATGAAGTAGTGGAAATCGAGAGCTTGGAGAGAAGCTTGTTATCGGAATCCGTTACCGGAGAAGAGGAAACGGAAAAAGAAACAGACGATGAGCCGGTTCTTTACACGGCGTCATTTGAGGAGATGGAAGAGAATTTCGTCAACCACCAAACGGCTCAATGGGTTTTATACTCATTGGTTTTGATATTAGCTTGGGGTATTGGGTTGTTCATGCTCTTATACATTCCCGTTCGAAGACACATTCTCCGAAGAGATATTCGATCCCGAAAGCTCTATCTCACTTCAAATTCCATCGTTTACAAAGTAAATTTTCACCCTTTCTCTCCTTTTTAATCTTCTTGTTATGGCATGCTTACGATTACAAACATGGGTCAAGTTGCTATTTTTAGAAATAAATATTCACGAAAAGAGAACAACTGTTTTAATAGGTTACAAGGCCAGTGGCAATTCCTTGTTTTGGGGTTTTAAAGAAAGAGAAGCATGTTCTATTACCTTCAGTTGCAGATGTTGTAATTGAACAAGGTGAAAATAATTTATCTACTTTAATTATTTTTGACAAAGGTTTTACTTTGAATTTTTTTTTTTTTGTAACTTTTGTTTTTTGTATTGTCCTTTAGGATATCTGCAGTCTTTTTTTGGTGTTTACTCTGTTAGGATTGAGAATGTTGGTGTAAGGAGGCCTCCCAGTGATGATGTACAAATCCATGGCATTGCTAACCCAAATGCTTTTAGGAAGGTTTATTCTTGATTATCGTAATCATATTTGTTGTTGCTGATTTCATAGAAGAGGATTCTAATTTATTTGCCTTTCCATGCTCATTTTAAGGCTGTTTTGACACGCCTTTCGAATATGAGGACTGAAGTTTTCTCCCGACAAGTTTCCGCAATTGAAGATACTCCAAGTTTAACGACTCACCCCCCAGCTGCTTGGGTATGCCTGTTGATATGATAGTTTATCTAATAAGTTGGGTTTAAGTATGATAAGGCTTTTTAACTATAAGCCTAGACTCTCCATTAAGATGCTGTTTATTTTAAATTATCAGCCTTCCTTCTTAATATAATGTTCAGCAAGTAATTTGTCTTTTTGGTTTAATGTTCATTTTCTTCCTTTTTTATTGCAGCTTTCTCCACCAAGGAGTCTTAAGTTTGATGCTATTTCTTATTCAGGGGATCTTGCATTATTGCAAAAGCTAGAGGAGGTTGGGAGTTCTGTGAAGGTAAAGCTGGGATTACATGCTTAGTGTCCTTGACATTGTTTACACATATGCTCTTAGTCTTTGGTTTGACTTTGATTTTCACTGCAGAAAGTTCAAACTTTGATTGAGGAACAACGTAGTCAAACATCAAAAACTGCTGATTGAGGTCAGCATATCAAAATTCAGAATGAAATGCTAACTTCTTGCTTCTGATGTTTGCTTTATTGTACGTTTCTTATACTGCTGATTTGTGATTGAACATGTACGTTTGTGGCAAAACTACCTCTTTAAGTAGTCTTGAATCCTAGCTTTCTCCTGCCTTCCTCTGCATATTTTATTGACCATGGATATTTTGATTGAAAGAGTTTTTGTCACTGATTTCACACATACAAAAGAAGGGGGAATTCAGCATGAAAAAAGAGCATTTTAAATCAGTGATTCATACTAAGCTGTGAGCAGTTTTTTTTACTTTGGCAGTGTCTTTTATGTTCTTATTTCCAACTTCTACTTGTCCACAGACACCCTCACGCTTGCTCATGTTCTCATGTTTATTGGCTGGCAAACTTGTCATTGATGCTTTGTGAATGATAATCGGGTCAGTAAATGAGAAAGGACGTGAACAAACCAAGTTTGAAATAACCAAGTGTTTTTGCCTTTGTTGGTACTTGTAGCACTGCTTAGGAATTGCTATGGCAATTAATAAACTATCTATCTAATATGTTGAATTCCCTACCCCCATACGCCCATTTTTTTCAGTTGGGTTCAGACTTCAGAGTCTTCAGACATTAGACCCATCACCCATGTTCAAGCTATATAAGTTACTTTGACCTGTGAGCAGGATGAAATCTCTGCTAGCACTATCCCAAATTCTGGTGTGTCTAGGTGCCATTACTTGGAAGCAAAACATTGATCTTCAAGGAAAGTTACTTGATTAAAGACTGTAACACATTGAAACAATCGTGTTGCATTGGTGCATTTCACAATCATTTATTGTGGGGATTGCAGCCTTTTAAGGTTTTTAGCAGTTGAGGTGGTTCTGAAATCTGAATGGTTCCATTTATGATGACCATCCTTGTATATGATGAATGACAGCCTGCTAAGTGCTAACACCTCCTCTTCCTCTTCTTCTCTCTCTCTCTCTTATCAAGCAAAGCATTTCTAAGTCGAAGCTCAGTTATTAATTCATAGAAAATATGTGTCAACTATAATTAGAACAATCGAGCTTTCTTGAATTTCCAGATAAGCTTAGCAACTTACATTATCTCTAAGAGAGCCACATTCAAACTCAATTCTTGGAAAACTTAAGTGTGGGGCACTCTTTCCATGTGTAATTTGTGGCCTTTATTTGAGTTCAACATGGAGATTGTATTCATTATCTATTGATTATCCATCATATCTGTTTTGCTTCGCATAATATGTCCTGAATTTGATGTTAATCAATTGCAGTGCAAGGTTCAGAGTAAAACTAAGCAGCATTCAACATGTCTTACTGTAGCTGTCAGTAGTCGAGAAAACATTTGTATCTTTATTCTGAGATGCCATTTCAAGCACTGCATACAAATATCTCTGGTGTCAAGTTTTGAGTGAGATTTATTTACCCTTTCTTGTGACATTCCCGAGGCTACAATCTTCCTGCTGCTATGGTTGTCTATCATTCAATTTGTATTTCCTCATTAACAATTAGGAAAGGAAAAAAAATCTTTCTCTATGTATGTTTTTTTTCTTACTTGAAGTTGTCAGGATTGAACTCCAATCACTAGAACCAAGAGTTCAACACTCTACCAACAACAGATCACACGGTTGATGGCTTGCTCTATGTATGCTTTACTGTCTTTTGCGGTCAGTTTCTATTTCATTTCATTTCTTTGTAAATTTCATTTGCTCTCATTCTAATTCTTGGGAGTTTGTATTATACAGTTGTCTTAATCATCATGATTATTGTTTAGTAATCTTCTTTTATGTTATACTGAATGGAGTTTCACATTTTCTTGGAGTTATTGATGATCTATTGCACATAAAATCCTGCCCTCACCCCTTAATTCTGTTTTCATTATTAATTGGTATAAGTTACTTAAATGATTGTAAATAACTAAATACTATGAGTAAATAGTAATATCTTTAATTACTGGTGGTAACTTTTTCTTACTAGGGTAGAAAATGTTGGATTGAGAAAAATCAATGAGTCATTTGCACATAAAACAAATTAAAAGCATTGACAAGAATTGCAGAGAAATATAGGCTGAGTTCTGTAAATTTACAAGTAACTACTCAACCTTTCTATCATAACATTATCAGCATTAATGGAATTTCTCTTATATTATCAATCAAAATCATCAAGAACAAAAAATCTTGGACAAGAAGAAGCATGAAATATTTGGTGGAGACGAGATGTTTACTTGGATAAGAAATCTCTCAATCCTTTAGTATGGAAACGTTGAACTTGAATCCAACATCAGGTAGTTGCATGTCGTTTGTCCTTTTCAATGTCACGCCTAGTACAAGGAGTTAGAAATAAGTGTTGTTTGCATCTAAAAGTAAAAATATTTTAGAATTCTGTTGAGAAAAATGTAGCTTTGGTCACCAATATCTGACTTCTTTGCTCAATCCTCTTCACTTCAGTAAGTAGTGTAGTTCTTTGATAAGTTTGGTCAGCGAACATTGGATTTTTACAGGCAAGGCAAGCACCAACCCCTTCCATTCTACTAGACTAACGGAATAGTAAAAGTTTCTCATTGGCCCAAAGTTTCCACTTTCTCCTCCACATTCTCAGCTGCCAAACATAAATGAGAAGTAATGGTATAAGAAAATAGTTGTCCTACATGCACGAATCTGTCAAGTGATCTGTCAGAAAAATCTTTTTTGTCCACTGTGAAGAATCTTTTTCTTGAAACACTTTTCAGGGTTAGGGCCATCACATGATCGATGTGATTTTTTTTTTCCATCCTAAAAATAACTTTTGGAATACTTATTCAAGAGATTTATTATTTTCTTCTATATTTTTATAAAACTCCATTAAATCCCTTTTTTTTTTAAAGTCATGTGCCAAAAGCAGAATTCTATATGTAGCTAAGGGTATCAATCCAATTAATCTTTAGGTAGATTTCTCAATTTAAAACACACGTGATAATATAATATAAAAATGATATAAATAAAAAATATAAAAATAATATAATTTGAAATTTTAATAAAAAATATAAATAAATTCAACAAAATAAAAAATATATTTTATATTTTTATATCGATATAAATTATAATACGTAATTTTTATATAAATATATAAATTATTAATATTTTATATAATATAAATATACAAATTGTTAAGTTTATTATTAGGGTAAGCAAATTGTTTTCAAAATAGTGATTTACTAATATTCAAGCTTCCCAAAAAAGCAGTGATAAGAAAAAAATTCAAATGTAAGCAAATGATAAAAGCGAGTCACAAACCTCATATTAATAGAAAAAAAAAAGTGATGTGCATTAAAAATAAAGCCTAAAAAGTAAAATGTAATAGTTCATGACCTAATATTTTGGTATTTGGCAAACAATTCGCAACTGCCAAGGTGCCATCACCCCTACAACCAAATTCCAATCCACCCAAACAAACAATGAAAAAAAAAAAAAAAACAGAAAGAGAGAGAAGGAATATGAACAGAAGAATAATATATAATATATCTCTAAGCAAAATGTAGAGATTTAATTTCAACATAACATTTGCAAAATATGAAATCAAACTAATGAATGTCACTGTCGATTTTGGTTTGGGATAATAGGATGGAAACGGACTTAAATTGATGGAGAAATTCAAAGAGGGAATGGGGAGAAAATTTCAGATATACTTTAAAAATTCTTGTTTTCTCCGACCATTTCAATGTTTTTTTTTTTTTTTTTTGTGATATCGATTTTTTTTTATAATTACACATAAAAATATGATCCATAGACTTTTTTATTTTTATTTTTTTCAATTAACAGTTGTTATGAAATGAGTAAGACAAATGGGTGAAAATAAGCAAATATATATTAAAAATTTATGAAAGTTAACATCAAATAAGAAAGAAAAACAGAGACAAACTAAGGCCCTGTTTCGATGTAACTATACTTCCACGTAATTAACACCCAAAAAATCAATAATTATATCTAAGAATTATATCTACGAATATAATCGATTGAGTTTAAATCGATATAATATTAAATTTAAGCTCAAATTTGATTTGAAATTTGATACTCAAAATTTTATTTAAATTCGACTCAAAATAAAAATCGAGTTATTTGAACTCGTTCGATTAATATGTAAAAATAAACTCGATTTTTATATTCAATAAAAGTTCGATTATTTGTACTTGAGCTTGATGAGCTTGAGCTCAAGTTCAAGACATTTTATTAATTAAAATAATAAAAAATATATTTAAATATAAAAAATAATTAAATTAATAAATTATTCGAGTCAAATATAATAATACTCAAACTTAACTCGATCGATAAATTAAATTATTCAAATTAGATTCGATAATAAATAAATTAAATTTAAATTTTATTCGAATTAAATTTAAATTTTATTTTAATCAAATTTAAATAATTTGTGAATATTAATATATCATTTACACAATTGATTATATCAAAATGCTATATAGACACGGCGTATCGCACCACTCACAATTTATTCCGTCATAGCTTTAATTTTTAATTTTACCGCTTTTTCACTTTTTTTTATTTATTTTTGAAATACAATTTAGGGATCACTTAGTTTTTCTTTTTTTTTTCTTTTTTTATTAAAAATTTTAAAATAATTAATCTTGAAATATAGTATAGAGATAAAATAATTTAATAATAAATTAATAATTTAATAAATATTAAATAATTAAATATTTTTATTATATACATATTTTAATATAATATATTTAATGATATTTTTTTATTTCAATATAATTTATCTTATTATTACTGTTATTTTTGTATTTAAATATATATCTTATTACTAATTTTAATATTATTATAATAATAATTAATTTTAATAATTATTTTTTTATACTATTTTTAATTTCATTATTCATTAAAATGAATCCTAAAACTAAAAAAGAGCAGAAGAGGCAGATCCCATAAATGCGAAAGAACATACGTCTAACAAAACAAAACTGTCCTTTTCCTATCTCATTATTATTAACACTCCAAAATCCAAATATTGTATAAATCCATTTTTTTAAATTAAAAATAAAATTTAAAGATTTTTTTGTCATATTTAATTAAAGTTAAACTCAAATTTATTGAAATTGCTAAAACTTTGGATTTGAATTATGATTTTTTTTTCAAAATGATACTTTGGATTTGATGAATTTGATGTTTATTTATTAATTAGAAGTTATTACTCATGATTAATGAATATTCTTTTGTGCCAATGAAATCTTTCTCCTACTTAAAAAAGAAAAAGAAATTAAATATTTTAAATGAAATTATTAAAAAGATATTTTAATTGCAAATAATAGTTTTTTAAAGAAGTGGATGTGACCGCAAATCAAAACCTCTAAACAAAAAAAAACCAATTGTTTTTAAGAGCAAAAGAGTCATTTCAAGAACAAATCCAAAGAGAAAAAACATTTATACTATAATAAATATTGTTATTATTAAAAATTAAATCTGATAATTTATATATTTATATTATATAAAATATTAAAATTTATACATTTATATTATATTTAACGTAAAATTATTAATTATAATTGTATCAATATAAAAATAAAAAATATATATTTTAATTTTATTAATTTTATATATAATAATTATTAAAATTTTAAGTTATATTATTTTTATATCTATTTATATTATATTGCCTTAGATTGAGAAGCTTTTCAAACTCTCAATCAATAATAAATAAAGAAGAGAGAGAAAGGAGAGTATTGGCGGTCTCTTACACTAAAGGGGACTACAGCCTACTGAGATTGCCGAGATGCTATCCTCTGTCCTTCTTCTTCTTCGACATTTCCATTTTTGTCACTTTTGTTTTGTTTTTTCGATTGATGGGCTGCTAGATTTTATTAATCTCACATAAAAAAATCTATCTTTATCCAAGCCCAAATCTTCCTACTCTTTTGTATTTTCAGTTGTTTTTATTTGTTTTTGGGATGGCATCTTCATCACTGGTAAGTCCGCTATGCACGTGGCTGGTGGCTGCTTGCATGTCGGTCACGTGCGGGAAGGATCATTCACAGTCTCCAATGCTCCATTCATCAGTCTCTTCTTCTTCTTCCAAGAGACTCGGCCGCAGGGCTCGTAATAGAAGGAGAGCTCTTCTTTCTCAATTCTGTGGTGGCTCAACCAGCAGCAGGGACGGGAGCTTGGTTTCGTTGTTTTGTGGATCCAACATTCAAGGCTTGATGACTTCCTGCTTGGCTTTTGAGCCCTGTAATGACTACTATTCCTCCAAAAATGGTAGCTTTTTTGGTCAAAATGGCAACTTTTCTTCTTTCTTTGGATCCAAAAATATTTCCTTCGATAATAATCGCAAGCACCGAAGGCTCAATCGAGGAGCTGTCCGTTCTGGTAATTTTAGCGGCTTCTTTTATGCAATTGAAAAGTGAATGTTGTTTTTTGCTTCCTTTTCAAATCTGGGTCCTTTTCTTTTTTGTTCTTTTTTTGTCAGCTGTTTTGGTTTGTTTAATATTTGACAAAGGATTAGTCTTCTTTACGCATGAATTTAATTTCTTTTGTTGTTTGAATTTGACCCTTTATTAGAGAATTGTGTTTTTGTTTTTTTTATTTTTAATATTTTCCCTTTCTTCAATTGCTTTGCCTCAAAACAAATTTAGAAATGAAAATGAAAAAAAAAAATCTTACTATAAATATAGCATATAGTAAGATTTTTTTTTTTAAATTTATGACCTTAATCATAATTAGGTGAGATTCATACAGAAAAAAAAAAAATCAATTATGATTCAGTTAAAACTTTAGTTAAGAGTCAGAAATGTAGTTCAATTTATGTTGCTTTTCATTTTTCTCAGAAACTCTAAATTTAATAAAAACAGATGATACATGTCCAAAATTTGGTACTGGCTCTGAAGACTGTATTATGATGATTAAATTTTAATTACAGATTTTTCTCTCTTGTCATCCTACCTTCAGTCTTTCTTTTATATCAGGCAGTTGATGTAGGTTGGTAGTATTTATTGTCTTGCTTGATGAGCATTGTAGAATAGTCTTTTCATGGTTTTGCTGCCACCTAGATATAAAATAGTAACACATTTGTTTGTGTATACTAAATTTCTGGGTTTTTCTATGTATATGTGATTGTGTGCTTATGCGTGTATATTATCTGCTAAATGGTGGTGATAGAGAAAATAAATTTCTTCATGCCTTGAATTTAATAAAACTTACGAGTTAAATTACACGCAATCTGTGGGTTAATTTATTTAAAAACTTAGGAGAAGCCATGGCTATAGCCGTGCAACCAGCAAGAGAAATCACAACAAAGAAGAAACCTCCTATGAAGCAAAGACGAGTTGTTGTGACTGGAATGGGAGTTGTAACTCCACTTGGCCATGACCTTGATGTCTTCTATAACAATTTGCTTGAGGGTGCCAGTGGTATAAGTGAAATCGAGACTTTTGACTGTGCCCAGTTTCCAACTGTAAGTTGTGTTTGAGATCTCTCATCTGCTGTTATTTGCACGAGTGCTTTTTCTTACTGCTCTCGTTTTCTCTCTAGAGAATTGCTGGAGAGATCAAATCTTTCTCAACTGATGGATGGATTGCTCCAAAACTTTCCAAGAGAATGGACAAATTCATGCTTTATATGCTTATTGCTGGAAAGAAAGCCTTGGAAGATGGTGGAGTAACTGAAGATGTAATGGAGGAATTAGATAAAGTGAAATGTGGAGTTTTGATTGGTTCAGCAATGGGTGGCATGAAGGTAAATTCTGCAGTCTATAGTTTGTATGCCTTTATTAGTTTATTTTGTAAAATTGAGGGATGCTTGGAAAACAGAAAAGAGCTGACAAGCACTTCTATTTATCAATATTAAACTTGGTGCCAGTGGAGTGTGAACACCAGCAGCTGGGCTTCATGGTTTTAGTACAACAGAACATGCTGACAACAGTTAACTGCATACTTTAAATGAGAGTGGTAAATTTTTTTTAATACTAGCTTAGCATTTAAAGCCAGCCTCAATGTAAAATCTTTTCTAAAAAACGAAAAGCAGTATAGTATATAGCATCCAGCAGGAAGGCCACATGACCTTAAAACTGGATTAAGAAACGAACATTTTTGCAATATAGCTTTTCTTTGTCTATCCGTTGATTCATTTAGGTGGTTTGTTGAATGACCAGGTTTTCAATGATGCAATTGAAGCTTTGAGGATTTCATACAAGAAGATGAATCCTTTTTGCGTGCCATTTGCTACTACAAATATGGGTTCTGCGGTGCTTGCAATGGATTTGGTTAGCTTAAATTTAGATTCTGCAATGTTAAATGCACCTTGATGGATGTTAATATTTGGACTTCGAGCTTTAAATTGATGATTTCTTCAGGGATGGATGGGCCCTAACTATTCAATCTCCACTGCATGTGCTACAAGCAACTTTTGTATATTAAATGCAGCAAACCATGTGATTAGAGGCGAAGCTGTAAGTTGAGCAAGAAAGACCCAATATATTATGGTATAATTTGAATGCACCATATCTGAGGTATTTGAAACAAAATTGCAGGATATGATGCTCTGTGGTGGCTCTGATGCGGCAATTATACCCATTGGTATCTCTTTCTCATTTGCTTATTTGACATCATTTTATAATCTTTCCACTTGGTACATCAGGCATACTCTATTTTGTGATTTTTTATTCAGGGTTGGGAGGATTTGTGGCATGCAGAGCACTCTCTGAGAGGAACAATGATCCTACTAAAGCTTCACGCCCTTGGGATGTTGTAATGTTTCAATAACTCTTGAGCTTCCAGACCATTGTTTTTCCTTTTGCTGTTGGTTTATCTCCAAGTTCTAGAAAAAAAAAAAAGGCAGTAAAACTGAGAATGAGTTAATGAACTATGTGGAAACTAATGATAACTATTTTACCATTTGAATGTGAAAGCAACCTTTTTTGTTATGGAAAATTGGGCGTACCACTGTTGTTGTCATGTCTTTTAACTCTTTAGGTCACAACTCATTATGAATAAGTTATGCATCTGAAAATGGGATTTTCAACAAATTTTCTCTCTATATTTATCAAGTATGTTCCACTCAAAGCAGTTATTTAATGCGCAAAAATTTTGTGTCTGATTCATGTTTGTTATTCACTTAGATAGTGGTTCTAATTTTTCCACAGAATCGTGATGGATTTGTCATGGGGGAAGGTGCTGGGGTTCTGCTTTTGGAAGAATTGGAGCATGCTAAGGTACACTTTCTTTAACCCTACAAAGCCACTAAGCTGTTGTTTTGCACTTATGGGTTGTGGTGAATTTACTGATTACGTAGATTAGTTTAACGAGTTTAGGTTTCTGATTTGCAGAGGAGAGGTGCCACCATATATGCAGAATTTCTGGGTGGGAGTTTCACTTGTGATGCTTATCACTTGACTGAGCCACGCCCTGATGGTACCGAGCAACATCTTTAATACTACAATTGTTTCTTCCTTAATCCATATTTTATTTCTATCTGTTGTCTCATTGTAGAGCTTTTGTTTTGATGACAATAAGTCTTGTAGAGCATTTTTATGAGAATAATTCTGTGTAAGAGACTATAGATAGAGTTATGACGAACCTTAGGTCAACATCTTGATCTACTGTTCTAATATTTGCTACAAGATTAACACTCATATTTACATAGCTGCATTAACTATATGTGGTGGCAGTACCACAAAGACACGGCCAGAACTTGAAATCTACATGAGTAGTAGTTGACTTTGGCTTTTGATTTTTTTGGCACATAGGCATGTTTTTACTTTAGTGCTAACCCTGCTCATACTTCATTGCCTTTTTTGTTAGACAATGATTTCATTGGTAAAAGGCATTTGTCTTAAGTCATTATAGAGTGCATATCTTGATCTTAGGTAGAGATCTTAGGTAGAGATGCTATTAGGGTTTCATTCTCGCTTGTACTGGTTAACCATAATAAATATCTTGAGATTACAACCTATGCGTCTTCCTTTGAATATGGAATTAGTGATATTTCACATGTTTCTTCTGCAGCAACACATGCTACTGTATGAAAGATTAAACTAACATCCATCTTGTGAAATCTGAAAATAGGAGTTGGTATCATTCGCTGTATTGAAAAGGCCTTAGCTCAGTCTGGAGTATCTAGAGAAGATGTGAATTATATTAATGCTCATGCTACATCTACACCAGGTGGAGACATTAAAGAATACCAGGCTCTTCTACATTGTTTTGGCAATAATCCTGAGGTTTGCAGGATTTTCTCTAATAATTGGATCTTTATGCATAATCTGTTTCACATATTTCTGCCTTGTGATTATTGATGAGATCTCTGGTCATTTGCAGTTAAGGGTGAACTCTACAAAGTCAATGATTGGTCACCTACTGGGAGCTGCTGGTGCTGTCGAAGCTGTTGCAGCAGTACAAGTAAGCCATTTAGAGATTTGATAATGCTTTTATGTTAGATTTAGAAAACAGACTCCATGTCTGTAATTTTTTACTGCTGAATTTTTGTTGGTTGTGTTCTGTTCTACAAGAAGACTGATTGCTCTCGCTATTTCCTCGCTTTTCCTGTTTTGTGGCTATATGATATGAGGACTTCAGTTGCAGTTACTACGCTCCTTATCTTCATTCTCTCTTGTTTTTTTCCCTTTCTTTTCTTTTCTTTCTTTTTTCGAACCTGAGCATTCTGCTGGTAATGTCTATTTATTGTAGGCAATAAGGACTGGTTGGGTTCATCCAAATATCAACCTGGAAAACCCAGATGAAGGAGTGGTATGTTGCGCCTTCCCTCTTCTTTATTTATTTATTTTTAAGTTACGCTGTGCATCAGTTTTTGCTTCTTAACATGTTAATACTTTTGTGAATTTTTTTTCTTTATTTGGGTCACTTTCTATAACCCCTAACTTGTTGATCTTTTTAAATGGAACTCTATCTTCTTTTTTTTTTTATCCCTTTAGTTTACCAATTAAACTATCTTATGTTGCCAACACGTCTATTCAGGACAAAAATGTGCTAGTTGGGCCAAAGAAAGAAAGAATGAATATTAAGGCAGCATTGTCTAATTCTTTTGGGTTTGGTGGCCACAACTCCTCTATCATTTTTGCCCCATACAAGTAAAATAGTTCAAGCATTGCTCTTCCTGTGTTTTCTTATATTCGGCTGAAGGTATTTAAGTTCATTCAAGGAGAAAATTTTAAAATCCTAATGCATATTATGTCAGCAACAGCTGCTGATCTATGTAATTTCCATCAGCTATTTTGTTAACTGTTAATGAGTCAGCTACATCATGCAGAGTAAACGGGAAATCTCTTCCGTAGACAAACATCACTTTGAAAGGGTTATTATAGGAAGTATGGTGGCCAGGTCCCAGGTGGCGGAGCTTTTTATAATAGACCTGACTGTATGGCTCTATACGAGGAATGAGGACGTTCAGAGTTTTAACTGTTTTTGAATGTTTCATTTTTTTTTCTCTTAAAATTAGCTACAATGAAGGTTTTAGTCATTTAGATGACATGCATGGGCCATTGAACCACCAGCAGATGTTGTCCTGGTCTCGTAATTTTTGTTTTCATGTACAAGAAAATGGCTGATCTTGACAGTCAATTTGTAATGAATTTTGAACTGGCAGATCCCAGATTACACTTGTAGAGTGGTGGTTTATGGCTTTATGTTCATGCAAGCCTGTTTTCTTCCCTTGTGTTTTTAATCGCTATCCTCTTCCCCTGGAACCCCTTCACCTGCCCTTGGAAGAAAAATAAAAGTTATATGTCTATTTATTCATGATATTTCCCACAAAACTAAGAGATCTCTTTGATATATTAGTTTTGATTATTCTCGTATAATTTGTATAAACTTTAGATAGTAAGCATGAAAGAAAACATGGGCCTTTAAATGTGTTCGGAAGTCTAGATTTTGGAAGGACGCTACTCTTCTTCTTTACCATGTTTGAGAGTGGAGAAACGATTAAAGGACCCGTTCAAAACTCTGTGCGACATGCTGTGCTGCTAGAATTTTTGTCAGTTACACTCTCAAAAGACGATTTGTAACATTAACCTCTCAAATCCTGTTAGATTTCATGTTATGAAATGGTACTAGTTTGTCTCGCAAAGCGCATTTTTTTTCTCATTTTCCCATAGAATTTCAAGAAATGCAACAATATCTGACCTTGGCTGATCCTGAAAGATCATTGCTTGTAGTGCAAATATGGAACATGTATGTGTGTGTGTATCTATATATATATGTATATTTCTCTCCATATTTCTTCGAATATGTAGTTACAAAAAGAAAAAAGGACACGTTGGCATCTATGCATTCCATCTATGCAAGGATCCTTAGAAATATTCCTTGTGGAATTCAAACCTCGTCGATGTCGTGTGACTCAGCTCCCGTGATAACTTGTTCAATTCCTTTGCCAACACCGGCATTCCACAATAGAACACTCCTGCAGTTTTAACAAAATCAGAATTCTTGTTTAATGGGTCTGTCTCGAAAACTTGGTTAGACAAATTATTAGTATGATTGCTAAGCATTTTCTTGATTGAAATGCAAAAGAAAACTCTGAATGATTCTAATATATATAGTTTTAAAACAAGATCAAATAGTTGGAAATTTCCAGATTGAATTGGGCTACCATCTTCGTTTTTTTCTTTTGGTTTTTTTTATTAATCCGATTAAACATGACAACTGGTGGTTGCGTACAGCCTTTTGATGCTATATTTTAGTTCCCGTAGTAGGTTGGATTGAATGGGAGCCAATTATGGTCAGTCTCGTTGGCAGAATCTAAAACTAATATCCCACTCTTAAATCCATTTTACAAGCCTTCTGCGTAAGCAACAAAGTCTCTTTGATTTAATAATATCTTCTTATGGCCAGAAATATATATATTTACCTACTGTGGCATGAGGATGTTTTGAAGCTATTTTTCTGAACACTTCGTTCCAGTTAGGCCTTGCGAAATGTGTCCTTACCTGCAGCAAATTATTAAAAATCCAAAGGGTTAGTCACTACTCAAGCAAATAATTGAATAGTTGGAAATGTTTAAATGGTTGTTTGGTAGGTGAGAAAGTATGCAAAGAAAATCACAGATGTTGACAATGAAGAAAATCTATCCTTCAATTGGGTAAATGATATGCACATTTCAGTTACGTACTCCTAAAAATTTTTATGAAACTTTCACTTGATTAATAACTGATAAATAAAGATTACTCGATCGAAAATGACTTCTTTCTAGGGAAAGAAAGATCATACTCGGGTTCCTGATAGGATGTCAACACCATGTTTAGCGTGATTCAGAGCTTGGACCATCGTAATCAAGGTTGATCTTGCATCCCCTTCTTCATAAACACTTGTTAGGTAGTTGTGCAGCTCAATCTGACCCTGTTTTAGAGTTGAAATAGCAAGAATAAGATATTACTTATGGAAGCTTATCCATTTAATGATAAAAAAATGGCTCTAAAGTTGTATATATTACTTTGTGATCCATTTCTGCAACTTCATCCATTACTCCTTTAAACCATTCAAAGGACCCCGGTTCCCTGGTGACCCAGTAGAAATAAGCATTTCTAGTCCTCTGTGACTTCTTTCCACCAATATTCAAACTTGAATTAGCAGTAAAATTCGAAGATGCAAGACTATTCCAGCTGTCGTCTGATTTAGTCATTTCTGTGGTTGAATCCTATTCCAACAAAGCCGCAGATATTCTTAGTGTATTAAAATATGCAGAAAACATTCCCATAGAAAGTGGCTTGACCTACCATTTGGTCTTCTGCTCTTGAATTGTTTAAAAGATCTCTGAGGATGCTTATGAAAGGGGTTGCTCCAATTCCTAGCCCCACAAGGAGTAGAACATCATAATTCCTGTAGTCCTGTGCCGGAGCCCCATATGGACCATCAACAAGCAACTTCGGTTGGCTGCAGCAGTAAACATGTTGAGTTAATACTTCTCAGATCTCACAATTGAATTTGAATATAAGAAGTTGTTTCCTACTAATACAATTACCCATTCTGATCAATATGTCCAGGCTGACCAAATCTAGCTCGGCCTATAACAAATGGCGAGTCATTAACATCTGTGAAAACTCGTTTCAATTCCTGCGTCCAGTCTCCCACTGTCCGGATGTGAACGCTAAGATGCTCATCTCCTGTTGCTGAAGTGATAGAAAATGGGTGCCTAAAATGAATTTAAGTGTGAGTTCAATGCGCCAAAAAAGAACAAATAAAGTTCCAAAAATGATTGTTAAGATTTCAAACAATGTAATTAAAGACCATTTAAGATTAGATGAAGCAGGGTATCTTTCAAAGTCACACTTACCATTCAAATGGGGAGATTGATGGGCACTGTAGAAATATGTACTGCCCACTTTTGTACTTGAATCCTTGTGGTTTTGACATAACGATGCTGAAGACATTTCCTGGTAGTACTGAAACCTGTGAATGACATTAAAAAAAAAAAAACCTGTAAATGCCCTGCAGTAATCTTCTTTCACTTTTTTTTTCCCCAGAAAAACTGCATTCTTTTTGTTTCCGTAAGACATGAATATCATATTGTTATGTTCTTCCTTCCGTTCATATAATTACAATACTCAAATTGTTATGTCAAAATTTAGCCAAACAGAATAGTAAGGAAAATAACTTAATCAAATTACCTTAAATATTTTTACAGAATAATGTTCTGATCTGCATGTTCTTACACTACGTTCCCCTATGTAAAGCAGCAATGGAACAGAGACGTACATCCATGTCTGCAACACCAACATGTTTAGTACTTGGCATGTATTCTGTCATTCTCATAGAAAGAAATATGATCATAAAGGTCTTACCGATCTCTGATACCACTTGTGGGCCAAGAACAAGAATGTTCCATGGATTACTAGCAAAATGTAGACAAGACCAAGAAGATGGTGAGAATACCAGAATGCATTGAAGCCTGTCAATCTGTTGAACGGTGCAGGGAGTCTCAATACATTCTTGCGGAAGTGACTTGTTGCTAATATAAATGCAAGGGCCATGAAAATCACCATCGAAATCCCTGTCACGCCTAGAATACCAATCAAAAGCTCTGAATATGAGGGTCTTTTGCCATGACTGAAATCAGAGGCTATGAGAGCAAATTTTTCTGGAGAAGCGTGAGTCAGGCGGATAAAATCACATGACAAGTGGCTTCCTGCATGGACGACGACTCCAATGGCTATAGCACATGCAATTGTCTGTGAAATTGAGGGGACAAAAATTTTTTTGTTAAAATAAAATAAATTAGTGAGTTTACAAAGTCCAAGTCCATTAAGTAACCCTTTTTTACCTTGTGGAAATTAATGTTGTCATCAAAAGGAACAAAGGACCTTGCTTTAGTGGACCGAAGCCAGGTCAATGTGTTTCGACAAACTGGTAAAAGAATTAGAGCCATGTTGAGCTTGAGAGTCTCGGCAGCCCCTTTGGCAGTGCACAAGCAATATCCCATAACTTGAAATGCTGCCCTGTTTTTATATTGCATGAATTTCCAGGCAAAAAGGGCTGCCATTACCATCATCCAAAGCAACAAAATCCATCCCCTTCGCCAGTTTTCTAATATCAAGCACCGGAGTTTAAAGCACACTCCTCGAAACATGTTTTTGGGTCTGACTGAACTTATGTTCTGATTCCACCCAACACTTGCTGCGCTAAGTGGCCTGCTGTAGTTCATATAAGTATCTCTCTGTAGGAGTAGCGTTTCCAACTGCCATAACTGAAATGAACCCAAAAGAAATGACACAAAAAATCCTACTTGCAAGCATGCCATATTATTTGAGCCAAACATGTCAAAAAATTTTACCTCAATGTACCCAAAATTCTCGGGATCCAGTTCTTCCATGATTAGTGAGGCATATTCTTCAGCTTGTTCTTTCAGCTTGGATAGCTTGTTTGCTGAAGCACTAAGCATTATAAGCTGTTTTTAAAAAAACATGTAATCAAACAAATCAGCAACAAACAAGGATAATGACATTGAAATAATTGAGCCGAAGTTTAATTTAATTGGCTTTTGGAGGACAGGAAAAAAGAATATCAAGTATATACTATATATAGAACATCAATGTGCAATTCGTTTCCATAAACCATATTTTCGTGGGAGTTATTTCAAGTAATAAAAGAATTAGCCCAATAAATGGCAGAAGTGCAATGTCACCATTGGCGAATTTTGTAGCTTTTCGTTTTTTTTTTTCTTTTTTTTTTTTTAACTACAAATTTAAACAAGAAGTTATATGAAATCTACCATCAAAGTTCTTAATCATATTAAAAAAGTTGTTAGATTAAAATTAAAAGGATTAACTCATGTTGTCACCAATTACGTCAACAATAATATTTGTATAACTTAAGGCTTAAATATTACTATTCTTGATATATGATTCATTGTATTATGATAATATTGACTAAAACAATTTTGATATAACATTATTTTAAATTTCTTTAAATAAATACTTAATTAAAAGTTTCAAATCTTGATTATTTTCCTTTATTTCTTGTGTTTATATAGATTGTCCACTCAAATTAAAAAATAAATAAATACTGATAATTTGATTACCTCCTGTACTTCTTCCCTTGTGATTCTTCCATCTTCATTGCTGTCAGCCCTGAAATTTTTTTTATCTTACTTAGCATAAACAATCATTTTGCTACCCATGAAACATGAACATAAAGTTACTATCAACTGGGCCATAGCCAATCAGCTTTTTATTCAGAAGCTAAAATCAGGTACTTCACGTAACCGCTAAAAGTTGCTGCTCTCAACCAATCAATTCAAAATTGCTCGGTCCAATTTTCCCGGATCAAACCCTTAGTCGCCGTTGGTTTTGTAGAAAAAAAACTCACTCATGCAAGAAAAAATTAAGAAAGAGAAGTAAACTAACATGTCGAAGAAAATCTGAAGACGCGCGTCAAAACTTTGGTCTGAAATCTGTAACCAGAAATCAAGAAGCTCCTCTTTTGTAATTTTCTCAATCCTCTGTCTCTTTCTTCTTGCTAATGCATCGAATATCCCAACTGCAAACTCCTTCGAATCCACCATCCCTACGTCAGAGGACAAAAAAAAAAAATCTAAATTTTCATTTTTTATTTTCTTAGTTGCCAAACAGAGTATCGGATTACGGACCTATGCA